ACGCGTCATCTCCTTGCAGTCCCAGCACCGATTCTGCATCAGGAAGTAGCCGCTGGATGTTAGGGATTTTTGGAAGTTAATCCCTAGATTTACGGTGAACAGATCTGCTCGCTGAGGTCACGACAGCGACGTTGGTCGGTGGACGGGGAGAAGCCCTTCTCGCATTGGTCGCATTTCTGCAGGGAAAATCTTTGCTATTAAAAAACTTGGTAATAACGCTTCTTAAGTGGTGCCACCTAGTCGATGCTTTCAAAATATGAAAGGTTACTTGTCGGAAACGCGCCTCAAAAATTAAGCAACTTGCTATCCCCCGCTAAGAGTCCAGTACCATACGTGCCTCGCCTTTAAAGGGGCTCAGAAGTCAAAATTCGTGCGTGCGGGGATTGAACCCACTGGTCAAAAAACCAAGGGACACTGCCGAGAAGTGCCAGAAAAGTGATTTCATTGCGAAAAAACGTAAAATATTTGAGAAAAATCCGAATTCTTTTTGGGGCGAAAACGACATTTTGAGTGCGCGGCGATTACCTGTCGTAATGCGTTGTAAGGCACCCAATCTCTCGATCTCGGCGATTCTCTGGTCAATTTTCATAAATTAAAAGTCTAGAATGATCAAATTTGGTGAAGATTCCAAAAATAGCATCAGAATTTTTAAATTCTAGCGTTTTCGCGTCCAAACAGGGGCAAAAGACCATGCGGCGCGGTCGCGTTCGGTCCTCTGGCATTTGCCAGAAATCACAGCAGGGGGCCGTGGACCAGATTTCGGAGCCCCTTTAAGGAGTTCACAAAGCCTCACCTCCCGGTCACGACACCGTCTACAATTTGCCGGGCAAGCCGCCAGACACCCGTGCCATCCGCCAAAACGCCAGAGGCCACTAAAAATTGACTCTCGGGTCCACGTAATAAGGACCCTTACGCCTGACAGTAGCGATCTTCCGGTCGCGCCAACGCCAGTGCCGACGCCTCCCTGTATCTTCTCGCCACGAGCGGAATGTGGGCCGCCACCAGCTCGTCGGTCCAGGGCAAGCATCCTTTGTCGAGAGTCCGCCTAAATGGCCCCTGACGTTTCGTGATGTGCTTCACTCACAGGACGTTGAAGCCGAGCGGACACTCCAGACATCCATACTGCGCGTCGAAGACGACGCAGTTCCGCTTGCCAAAGTTGAAGGCCACCTGGAAGGTTCGGAATAATAGAAAGATATCAGGAGATATCAGGAGAGAGAGAGCGAGAGGGAGAGCGAAAGAGAGCGAGAGAGAGCCAGAGCGAGAGACAACGTAACGCTCCTATCGCCGCTGTGGCGTCATGACAGGGAAAAACGATGTTGGTTACTTAGCGTTTTCCGAAAAGAAAGGGGCAATTTTTCCGATACAAATAGAAGATATCTCTAAGCTGTTTTTTTTAAATTTTTTACCCGTTTTACTTCAAAAAATTTTTGTTCTTTAATGGTTTTCTCCGCAAAAATAATGAATTTTACCCAAAAAAGAATTGTGGAAACCACTTATATCTATTTTAACAAGCATTTCTGCACTCGCGTACAGAATTCTGCCCCACCCGTTATTGGAAAAGGATCAGAAGCCCAATTCAGGTGCAACACATACCGGTCGGTAGCTTATGCCCTTGAACGAGTTGTGACACTCCTGGTAGTCGTACCGGAGGGACGGCGCATCTTCCCCGTGGCGCCGATGAAATTCGGTGCTGTGCAGCGGAAAAGAGAAGCCGCTAAATGACGTCAAGGTTACAGTAAGTTACATGTTTTACTCTAGAGCTAAATCTAGCCGTACCGCGCTCTCGATTTACACCCATTACCAATTTCCCTTTTCAAGACCCACAAAAATTTGTAGTTGTCCGTCACGTTCAGCTGGCACGAAAAATCGGTGACGCGAGTTTGGAACCTAAAGGCGGTTTTTAGGGTGTTTTTTTGCAACGCACTCAGCATCGGCGCGGCGCCGCACCAGAAAGCTGTCGGCGTCATCCTAAATTTACAATTCCAACTGGAAATCACAAAAATCCCAGAAAAAAAACCAAAAAAAAAAACGCTAAACCATCCTTACCGCGTAATTTGCATAAATTGTCGGCATTAGGAGTAGGAAGAAAAATATGGAGCGTGCCATTGAATTAGACGAGCCGAGTGCTGGCGAGCATAGAAAAAGAGTGGAAAATCACTCGTTTTTTTTTTAGATTCTGGCCTGATTTATGCAAATTTCGACGAAAGTGCTTGGAATTCAGATGAACAACTTCAAGTTGATGATCAACGTGTGTGGCCCTCTCTTCAAAACCAAGCATTAATCGCCCTTTATTCACACACGTTCATTCGATCCCAAACAATACCATTAAACCGAACATGAGATTCCAAACATAAAGATACAGACAGGTAGAAACGGGCGAGTTATAAAAAAGTATCGTATCCGAGGGTCGTTAGTATTTCTTCAAGAGTTGCGTCGCGGCTGTACAGTGTTTTTCGGGTCTTCGGGAGCGGGCTAAAAGTACCGTTTTTACAAAGCTAATAATTCCTGCTGCGTAAAAGCCTAGCGAGCACGTCGCGTCAAGTCCTCCGAGTTTGACGCAACGCCTCAGCTACGCGTTTACTCTGTCCTGCTCGAACTTGAGGGCCACCTACACTCAATGCCTTGCCATCCGTGCTGACGGTGGGATGTATTGATGTGTACTTCGATTCCTGCTGGGTGACCTGCTTGGGGCTGAGGTGTTGGCGGGGTGCGCGCGAGGCGAGTGGAGATTTTTGCTTCTAAAAAAGTGCTTGAACTGCTTACTGTCGGTTCGTCTCTTTCTCTATCTCTCTCTCGCTTTCTCGCTCTATCTCTCTCTGTCTCTCTCTCGCTCTTTCTCTCCAACCGCACACACCTTCTGTTCCGTAGACATGCGACCTGTCGAGCGTCGCCGCCCGGTAGGAGACGTGGCGGTGGCCGATCGAAGTCGAACAATCGGCTGGACGGGGTTTGAGGGTTGGGCTTGAAGTGGCAGCGGAGCGGGAGCTTGAGGAGGCAGAGCTTGGGTGGCTTGCGGTGAGCGTTGGGCCGGCCGTTGCGTTACATCGAGATGGGAGGACTGAAAATTGAACTTTGAAATCGCTACGAATTTCTTGAAAATTTATTTCCTACCATTGGCGTATCATCCAAAACACTATCCGCAGCCACCGACGACAAGCTGCCCTGCTTTGACGGTTCCATGCTGACAGAAGTCGGCACGGATGAGGTGGCCGCCGGGACGGGCGGTGTGGGTTTTTGTTGTGGGATTACGGTAGTGGCCGAGGTGGCGGTCAGGGAGATGGCGGCTTGGGATACTGTCTTTCTCGGCTTCTTCTTCTTGTTGTTCTTTGACAGCTTCCCCTTGGTGGTGGTCAACTCCTTGGACTTGTTCTTGCGTCGCGGCTTCGTGCCGGGTGGAGCTTCATCTTGTGTCACGGCCACGGTGGTGGCGGAGTTGGTTGTGGTACTGATGGCTAAAAGAGGAGTAGAGAGCGACAAAAAAAGAGAGCGAGGGAGTGAGAGATATCCATGCTGGAAAATTTCTACCTGACGTTAGGCCAAGCGACGGCATCCTGGGCAGCCTCGGAAGGGCGGGCTTAGCTTTTGGACGTCGCTAGAAGTGAAGCGGAATACTTTGGATACGGTAGGTGACCGACAATTTTGCGTATGATGAAGCGACGCCTGACAAAAATCGGGTTCCGGCCAGCCGTGACTTCGTCGGCTGAAACATCATACAAATTTCCCTGAGTTTTGAGTCTTGTAGTACGAGAGAGAGAGAGAGAGAGAGAGAGAGAGGGAGGGCGACACAGATAGAGAGCTCGAGAGAAAGAGAGAGGGAGAGAGCGTTTGTTTTCGAAACTCCTACGATAGGAATCAGCCGGTGAGCTCGCGGTACCCGAATTCTTGATATTATCGTTAGAGCGTGAACGTCTTCTAGCGCGGAAGCGTGCTTTTGCTTCTCTCACGGCTCGGGCACGTGCATCGCTAAAAAATCCGGACACCTGAAATCGTGGTGGTAGACCAACTGCTCCTTATTCCACGGGATCAGCGCGGCATTGTCGGGGCCGGAAAAGAGCAACGCGGCTGAAGTGTTATTGCATTAATGACACGACAAGGCTTTTCCCCACCAATGCTCGCCAAAAATTGGAGCGCCAGGTAGAGGAGCAAATGGCAGAGGAGCATGATGTCGGCCTTGTTTTTCTGGTATCCGCTGTAGTGCTGGTTGAAGGTGACTTTCTGGGTATTAAAAAGTAATAATCAGGAAAAAGGAAGCGTACCACAAGTTCAACGTGAGCATGTGGGGGCCTGAAGTTGCAGAAGAACTCGTTGCGTCGCAGCTCTACAGGACGGAAGCCTTCGGGACATCGGGGGACGCAGCGCTGAAAATTGAGAAATCGAGAGAGAGAGGGGATAGAGAGATAGAGGGAGATAGATAGAGCGAGAGAGAGCGATAGAGGGAGAGCGATCGAGCGAGAGAGAGATATACTGATTTTGCTACCTTCCAGGTATCCATAAAATGTCGACACTTCTTGCACTGGTCGGGGCTCGGCCCGTAGCACCCATTACATTCGGGATGGCAGAGGCGACAGTCCCCGCCAGAGTCGGTGTATTGGATCCTAAAATACAAATAACGTCTGTGAATTTCATGTGTTTCATGTTTCACAGTGTGAAAGTATCTGTAAGTTCCGTACCCCTCAATGCATTCCGGATGTAGGCTGGGCGTGTGGAGAGCCGTGCAAAACATTCGCTTTAGGGTCGGGTCTGAAACGAGTTGAAAAATCAGCATCAGCGAGAGAGAGACAGAGAGACATAGAGACAGTGGGACAGAGAGAGACAAAGAGACACAGAGACAGAGAGAGAGAGAGAGAGAGAGAGAGAGAGAGAGAGAGAGAGAGAGAGGATGGAGATAGAATAAACAATTTAAAGGTCGAGCCTACGAACCTTCAACTTCATCAGCTCTACTATGCGTATACGGAGCCGTCGAGCGGACAGCCGCGTCCGCTCCAAAGACTCGATCACATTGAGAGCAAAGATGCGGATGTAGACACGGGACACACGATGGTGGCTTGGTTTCCGTAGTCGCGTAGGTGCCACTGAAATTTTGTTTAGTTGAGTACGAGATTCACTGGGGAAGCGACATTAGGATGTGATGATGATGAGCGATAAATAACCATCAATTCCGTGGCTTTTTTTGGTCATTAACGCCCAAAAATCCTAATAAAACATACTTTGGACAGGTTTTGACGCAGTAGCCGTTGACGTTCTTGTATGCGCCGGGTTTGCAGGTGGGGCAAGGCTAAAAACGGTGCTTACCAAATGCTTTTCTGAGCCTGAACTCCTTAGAATCGTCACTCACATGCAGCAGAAAAACCTCGAAATCCGTTTCGGCCTCACAATTTTCCATACAATCTTCGCTCACGCAGAATGGTCCGAAGATGTTCGTCTTCTTCCTGCCATCTTCCTCTTTACTGAAAAAAAAGGATTTGAGAAGCCTATAGCTCTAAATTTTTGTTTTGCTTATCTCTAATACTTTAAGGTAAACACCCACTCGTCCCAGTAGACCTTCCATTCGTCGAGGCTACGGAAAAACTTGGAGTAGAAGAAGCCTGGCGCGTGGAAATAATTCTCATCGTTGACGATGCGGTTGACCTCGCCGTGCGGATGCGGAACATCCTCCCATTCGCGCTGAACAGGTTAAAGTGGACCGTTGACGTTTAAACCAACGTCGTCAACTTCGATGTACGGTTTGTCGTCGACGGGTGGCGCGACGACGTCATCTTCATCATCATCGGAGTCGTCGTCATCATCACCAAATTGGCGCTTTCGGCGTGTTCGGTCCTGCACCCGCGGGCGCCAGAGGTTCATGTTCAGCTCGCAGCGGGCCTAAAGACGAGGCTGTGCGGAAATCGAACAAATTTTTTCGCTATTAAACTGCTATTAAGTTGTAAAACTAGCAAGTAAATGTAAAGTGCTATTGGCATTTTCAATTATTTTTAGCAAGTTTTAACTACGCTTACTATCGCAGCAAAAAAAAATTTCAAAAAGTAGGGAGTTGTTTAAAATCAGAAATTTCGGCATTTTGGGTGCTAAAAATTCTGAAAAGCTAAAAATTAGATCATAAAATTTGTAAAATTTTTATCCTCAACAACCACCAAGAAAAAAAATGGGTTTCGTCGAAAAAAGTGTGTCGAAAGGCAACGTAAAAAATCGAAATTCGAGGCCGACCGGCGCCATTAAAAGCAAACCAAAAATAAGCCACCTGTCGCCACCGAAGGTCCAACCATCCGTAGTGGGTGCACGAGTAGCAGTGCCGATCCGTGGGGCCGTCTAGAAGATTGAATTAAAGATGGGACGAATTAAACCGTTTCTTTCTTCGCTCGTCATTAAGCTGCAAAGTTGCAAGGTATACCAAGATTTTGGTTTTGGCTAGGAGAGTATTTTGGTATACATTACAAAGTATTTGCCAAAGGAAAGGCATCAGAATCGAGAGCCGATACAACCACATGCACCCACAGCACGTTCTGCAAGTCTTGTCGCAAGGCAGACACGACATTGCGCCCATCGTCTCGGCGTAATAGCCCGGGCTAGAAAGGAATTGCTAGTTTTGAACTTGAGAACAAGCTCAAAAAGTACTCCTTTAAAAGCGAAGATGAGAAGAAAAATGATGCTCACGGGCAAACGGAGCCGCACCCGGATCCTCCACCTCTTAGCCGTTGCCAGAAAAGCCCGGGCGCGCAGCGCGTGCATTTTCTCGGGCTAAAAAAAGGTGCATTTTATTATACAGGATCAATCGAGCATAGAAATTCGGCTAGAAACATCTTTAAACTTCAGAATTTTGGAAAAATTATTCTCCCACCCATCGCACTCTAGGCAGTAACTCGGGCACTCCACGCAACGATCCGTTTTTGCGTCGTAGTAGGTGCCCCTGAAGCGATATTTTTCCCTGGAGAATCAACGAGCACAAGTATTCCTCAAAAGAAATACTTGAGGTTTACCATGAAGAACTTCTACAAAAATCTGAAAATCACCTATGACAAATCTGCAGACAAATGACCCGAGAACGCCTGCGAACCGGGATGTGCCCGGCGGTGCACTCCAAGCAGGCACCACTCTAAAATACGGCCCTATACCTTTACTTCCGTTTTAAAATCGTGCCCTTTTTCGGCTTAATTTGTGAAAAAGCACCTCATCGCACCGTACACAAAACCGCGTCATCGCCCCGCACTCCCAGCATCGATTCTGCAGCATGAAGTAGCCGCTAAAATGAGGTAAGGGTGTTCAGAAGCTACGCAATCATACTCTGAACAGATCTGCTCGCTGAAGTCACGACAAAAACGGTGGTTAGTGGATGGGAAGTGGGCGAGCTCGCATTGGTCGCATTGCTGAAGAAGACTATGACAAGCTTCTGGAAAATTCTTACAAAAGAGTCGCGGCAAAGTCGGCAGTCCTGCGTGCACGCTTCGCGGCACCCTTCGTCGGACCGCCGGAGCCCACTGGAAAGCAGGCGAATACGTAAGGCGAAGACGCGGTCGACCACTCCCCCTGGCCTGGTATTAGACTCTTAGCGGGGGGAGGGGGGGGGCTGCGGATTTTTCGCAGGCAAAGACCGATTTTTTTGAAGTAATCCCTTACGGTCATTTTTATAGTATGCTATACAGTTTGTCGCTAGGAAACCCGATAAAATAAATCTGAGAAATCCTGACTTTTTTGTCAAAATGTATTAAAAATGGCCAAACGATGAAAATTTGTCGCTTTTCCAAAAAAAGTTTTGTAGATAGTTTTCTAGTTGAAATATCGTGAGGAATTATATATTACTAAAAACACTATTAAAAAATTGAAGGTTCATGCCAAAGACTAGCCGTGGGTAGCGGGCGATTCCGCGATTTTTAGTTCAAGACAGACACTTTTTTTCAAAACCCACTCTTCACAATAACGATCCTCCGGTGACGGCAACGCGATCACGGTAGCATCATTGTAGTCCTTGGCGACCAGCTCCATATTGACCGCCAACGTCTCGTTCCATGGGTTACAAGCTGGGTGGACCTGACTAAAATGCTCGTTGAAAAGCCTTCTTTTTCAAAAGTTAATTTGACCGCCAAAAACCCACTCAATCTCAAAGCCAACCGGACACTCGATGCACCCGTATTCCACGTCCTTCACCAGACAAGATTTAGCCGCAAATGTTGTCTGAAGTTGGTTGTCAATTGGCATGGATCGGACCTTTTGGTAAAATATAGAGCATTTTTATGTTTTTTTTCTGGTAATTCTTAATTGCTATGAAATGATATAAAAATTTTAAAATCATAAATTCAAAAAATTTCGCTTTTATTCAGCATTTTTCATATATATTTGACCAAAAAGTCAATTTTGAAATTTGCCTTGATTTTGAATGGGGTTCTATATCTAAAAAACTGTTTGAAATCAGATAAGCATGATTTATATTTCGCTATAGGCCGTAAAGTTGCTGAAAATGGATTCCCCCCACTAACAGCCCAGTACCGAAAACCCTACCGGCATGGCCCTCGATCCAAACGGGTCGATGCACCCCTGCCGATCGGTGCGTGCGATTCGCCCATCGGCAACGCGGTGGAAAACGGTGCTGCGATGCGGGAACTTGTAGCCACTGAGAAAAAAATGTCGGAGCTGGAAAAATACTCACGAAAATTTATAGTGGTCCGTTTCGTTGGGGTGGCAAGACAGGCCGATGACGCGTCCATCGTATCTAATGAAAAACTAGGAAAAGTTTCCTTGGACCGACTCTGCATCGATTTCGCGCCGAGAGTACATGAAGCCGTCGTCGTCGTACTAAACACAATTTAGGTAAAACAAGGTAGAAAAAGCAAGGTAAAAATTGAAGGTACTGACAGCATCACGAAGATGGACGATCGGCATGAGAAATAGGAAGATGAAGGTGAAAAGTAGCATTAGGACGACCGAGTATTGGTTCGCATGGGTGCGACTGTGGTGTAGGATATATCAATAGGTATGTAGGAATTTAATAACGTATGCAAATCATTTAAATTGTCCGCCAAAAAGCCAAGATCCTACTTTTTCCGGCCGGCTACATCCTTTACCGGCTATAGGTTGCGGCTGGAAATGTATGTGGTTTCACGTCTATCTTCACTTACAAGGAAACGTTTCAAACGATTTCAAGGAGTTTTTAGCTGCTCGAAAAACGTCCAAAACCGCAGACTTTGAACGCATATAAAATTTGCGAAAAACATTCAGATAAAATCAAGTAACATCCTGTTCTAAAAATGCGTACTTTTGAGTGGCCTTTTAGGCGCCACGATTTTCGAAATTTCCGCAAGTCGGTACTGGCTTAGAGGCTGGACAAACTCGTTTCAAAAAATCTTTCCCAATAGCCCCCCCCCGCTAACACACCAGTACCAACCAGCTATCTATTTTCGGGACAGGCTGGTTACGTCCTAAGCCTAAGCCACTTCATCACATTGATTCCGTTTCAAGCGTACAGTGTTAAGCGCCATTTATTCACATTGCCTGCACAATTCGATTCAAACGGAGACAATTCGGTAACTGGACATGAGCTCTCAAAAACAAGCCATAAAAAGCGAAGACAGTGCAAATACCAATACAAATACAGAAATGGGCGTGGGGTGATGTTTGTAAAGCGGCGTAATCGGTCAGTAGTGTCGTGGCCTCGTTCAAGTAGTCGGGCGACGATCAAGTGATGGCTGAAAGATCCGGACGTTATAGGAATTTCGGAGTATCATCGTTTTTAAAAGGAAAGTGACTTGCAAAAACTGACCCTCGAATCCTTGACGCGACTGCTCGCGGCCTGGGTGGCGGCTGGCTGTTTGGAGTCGTGCGTGCGCTGCTTCGCGCTTTTCGGGCTGCGCTTGGCCAGCGAGTCGGCCGGGGATTTGTTATTCTAAAACAGGGTTTTTTTTTAGTTAGGTTCGGCTCCCAAAGCCTCAAATTTTGACGGTACCTCCGTTACTTTCGAATGAATTCGCGGGGGGAAAGTATTCCCGGGGGGAGGGGGGACCAAAATTTTTTCGGCACAGCCTAGATTTTTTATATAAATAGTGGATGTGTTTATAAATTGTTCATCGCTATCCCTAAGCATACAAACTTTACAAAATTTAATTTTAAGTCGGAAAATCAATTTTTTGAAACAAAATGATAAAATTTGCGAGTTTTTCAAGCGTTCTTCTAACTTTTTAAAAAGATGTTTTTATTCAAATAGGCTTAAATTTTGCTAAAGACAACGTCAAAACACTGATATTTGGTTACTAGGTCACCCGGGACCGCCAGGAAAAAAATTGGTCCCCCCCCCCCCGCGAATCCTAAAGTACCAAAAACGCAGATCCGAAACCCCACCCGTTGCTTCATATCGCGTCCACTGTTCGTTGGGCCTCGCCTCGGGGCCGTTTTCTGCGTCTCGGCCGCCGCGTCATCCGATTTGACCCTGACGATCGGTTGGAGCAGCTGCAGGGGTTGTGGTTGGATAGGTAGAACTGGTAGGTGGGTGGCCGGAATTGACGGAGGGGCCTGGGTGCCCGGAAGGAGTGACGGAAGTGCTTGGGTGGCTTGAGGTGAGTGCTTCTCCTTCAACGGACGCTGCGTGTCGTCGATTCGGTGCGAGGACTGGAAGGAAAAGTTATACTCCAGTACCAAACCCAACACCTACCGGTGGCGTATCATCAAAAGTATGTTCCTTCAGCGAGATAACGGTCTGCCGGATGCTCTTCTTTGACGGCTCGGGCGTGGAGGTGACGATCGGGTTCTGCTGCGAGAGTACGGTATCCGAGGTGGCCGCCTGGGAGTTGAGGACTTCTTTCGAGAGCCTTTCGCGCGACATCTTTTCCCTCGACTTTGGCTTCGTCTTCTTCCGTCGGCGTATCTTCAGCCCGACGGCGTGCTGGTCTTTTGAGGTGGACGCCGAGTCGTTGGTGGTGCTCACGGCTAAAAATGGGGATAAAAAGTGAATGGATTCCTTAAAATTTAAGAATCCGGGAAAAGGTTCATGTGGAATCATACCTGTCTGGTCCAAGGATTTGTGTCTCGGGACGGCTGGGACCGGGACACGTGCTTTGAGACGTAGCTGGAATCGAGAGATTATGCTGATTTCTCTCACTCCCTCTCTCGCTCTCTCTCTCTCTCTCCCTCTCTCTCTCTCCTCCTCTCCTCTCTCTCTCTCTCTCTCTCTCACTACCTTTCTGCGCACAATCACCCGGCGCGTCATCAATGGATTGCGATGCTCGCTAGTCCGCTCGGCAGCTAAAGAGTGATCGTCTGAAAAAAACCGCAAAAAGCTACAAAATCTCTGTGCAACCGCCATCACGCCGTCATGAGACTTGGTGAGGCTGTCCTGTGACTGCTGTCGCAGTTTGGCGGCGTAGAGGGCGGCGGTTTGAGCGCGAATCTCGGCGCGGATTTTGCTAAAAAGCGGTAGTTGCGAAATTTACTTCTGTGGACTTACTCCTCCTTGTTCCACGGGATCAGCGCGGCGTTGTCGGGGCCGGAGAAGAGCAGGGCCACTGGAAAATGGGGAAACGTGACTGATTGGGAAAAAATTGCCCTTCCCCCCGCTAACAGACCAGTACCTCAAAGTACAAGCTAGTTCGAAAAGCTCGGTCCGGAACCTGCCCTACCTATGCTCGAGGCGAACTGCACCGTGACGTAAAAGATCAGGTGGCATAGCAGCATGATTTCGGATTTCTTCGTCGGGAGGCCGTAGTACCGTCGGTTGAACGTCACTACCTGGGAGGATGGCCTTTAAAGGCGCGCTCTCAGCGCCTCCGCTTTTCCACGAATCGTGAAAAACTTTGCATGCGAGATGTCTGCGTCCCTCAATAGGGCGTGCTCTCTAACCCGAAATGCATGCAAATTTTTCCACGATTCATGGAAAAACGGCGCTGCTGAAAGAGCCCCTTCAAATTGCAGCTGAGATTTAGTTAAGAAAAATCTGTGCCGGATCCGTGCCTCTCGGTCCACTGGAGGCGGAGGCGGCATGTAGTTGCAGAACAGCTCGTTGCGTCGAAGTTCCAGGGGCAGAAAACCGACCGGACAATGCGACACGCAACGCTAAAACAGGCTGATATTTATGATTTTTACTGCAATTTTCAAAAATGTTTCGACGAAAGCGGCCGGTTTTCGACAAAAATTGTCAAATTTTTGCAAATTTTTCCAAGTTCTTAGATAGTGTTTTCACTGCAAACATAGTCAAATCTCACTAAAATACGTTGTCTTGCATTGCAAGGCGCTCCGAACGAATAGAAAAATCCCCCTCCCCCGATAATGGAAAAGCGCCAAGAAACAGACAAACATGTCGGCCTACCCCCCAGGTATCCTTGAAATGCCGGCACTTCATGCACTGGCCCGAGCTCGGCCCGTAACACCCATCACATTCCGGGTGGCAGAGACGGCAGTAGCCGGCCGCGTCGATGAACTGGAATCTGAAGGAAGTAACTTGCAGGGATTCCTTGGGAAATTGCGCCAATCGATCGAGGGTACCGTACCCTTCAATACACTGCGAGCGGATCTCCGGGCGGTACTTCTCCTTGCACACCAAGCGCGTGAGTGTTGGGTCTGAAGGGTAGCAATTAATAATGGGGGAACCAGAGTACCGTTAAGCTCATCCTGTCGGCTGTGCGTGTAGAGGTCGATTGTTCTTCTACCGGAGGTGAAGGTGTCGGCCTAAAATTTGGTGTGAGAAGAGAATGAGAGAGTTAGGAGAGAGAGAGAGAGAGAGAGAGCGAGCGGGAGCGAGCAAGCTCACCCGTTCACACTGTGCGCAAAGATGCGGATGTAAGCACGGTATGCATGACGGCACGCGAGTCTCGAGGGTCGCGAAGGTACCACTGAACCCAAAATTGTAGAAAAAGTTGGAACACACTTGGGGCAGTCGGAGACGCAGTACCCGTTCACATCCTTATACTTGCCTCTTTGGCATCTTGGGCAGGGCTGAAAAGATCATCAAGGTCCGTCTCTCTCTCTGATTTTTCACACTCTCTCTCGCTCGCACTCTTTCGTTCTCTCTCTCTCTCTCTCTCTCTCTCTCTCTCTCTCTCTCTTCTTTCCAAAATAAGATCACCGACATGCCATATCAGCAGCTCGTCCTCATGGGCCGGCCGGCACCCTTTCAAGCAGTCCGGGCTCGCGCAAAACGGCTTGTAGATGTCGACGATGGACAACTGGCCGCTGTTCTCCTTCCTGGAAATTGGCCTTGCCCTTGAGCATCTTCAGCAACGCGTTCCGAAGCACTAATAATTTGAAGCCTCCCCACTCGTCCCAATACTCCTTCCACTGAGTGATGTTGCGGAAGAACAACGAGTAGAAGACGTCAGGTGTTCCCCTGTATTTCCCCATCTCGACCTTGCGCATCCACTGGTCACGTGGGGTGATGGCGTCCCGGTCACTGGCCTGGAGATACGAATGTTTTAAAAGCAAACGCTATTGATTACCTTATGGGGTCTCCGGCCGTCCTCGTCCCGCCCTGGGAGCCAAAATGCCATGTTCAGCTCGCAGCGCGCCTGAAAGAACTTGATGCTGGTGTGGTGCATAGCTTGATCGTCAGATACTGCGTAGCTTGGGTGTTCGCGGGCGGGGGGGGGGAGTAGACTGGGAGTCCCGCGGGAGGCAATGATTTTTCGCGGTTGATACAACGCAACGTTTTTATGGTGTTTTTAAAAGTTTTTTCTTGCTAGAAATCGATTTGAAACATCTCAAAAAAAATTAACAATTGAAAAATCTAGGAATTTTTTGACGATTCTTTGAATTTTTGAGCAAGAAGCTTTTAGAATTTTTGGGAGTTTTTTACATCACAAACTGCGTAAAATGCCAGGTTTGCAAAGGAAAAATTTGACTCCCCGCTAACCCCCACCCCCCGCTAACAGCGCAATACCGATACTTCAGGCTTCTCACCTGCTTCGCCTTCAGATCCAGCCACCCATAGTGCCGACACTCGTAGCAGTGACGATCCGTTGGACCCCCTAAAATTGATTACAGGAGTTTCGCCCAACTAATGGAAGTTTATAGAAGCCACCCGATGCTACTACCAGCACAACTTTTCACATCAACTACCACCCACAGCACGACGTGCAGGCCTTGTCGCAACGCAGACACGTCGACCCGCCCATCGACTCGACGTAGTAGCCGCGCCTAAAGGAGGGTTAAAATGGATGTAGTTTAAAAAACGTACCCGCAAACGGACGTGCATGCAAAGGAGTTCTTCCCAAGCTGCTGCAAGAACAGTCCCGGGACGCATTTTTCGCATTGTTTTGGACTGAAAACGCAAAACCGTAAGCTAAGAAATGGTAAAAATTAAGTCGTGACTTCTGAATTTGTGCGAATTTCGTCGATATGCGCTATGTAATCCCTGGGTTGAGTCGCGGCTGCATTGTGGCCGTGCTGCAGTTCAGTCTTGTTTGCTCGGCGGTTGCATTGCGGAAGCGTTCGTCTTTCATTGCGCTGGCCTCGCGTTCGAGTTTGTCTTACCGGGTGTGTTGCGGTCACGCCTTGGCCGCGTAGCGCCCGTACTGAGACACACCCGCTTCGATGCATTAATGCCTACCCTTTGCAAGCCAGGCAATAACTCGGGCACTCCACGCAGCGGTCCTCCTTTTGGTCGTAGTACGTGCCCCTGAATGGAGAAATTCCAATTAGCTACTCTCGACACTACCTTTGGCAAATCTTCATGCAGACGTGTCGCCACCGCCTTTTGACGAGCATGTAGCCGATGTTGCACTTCTGGCAGACGCCTTTCTGAACCAAGAAAGTGGTGTCATCGTTTTTAACTCTGACCTCGTTACAGAATACACATTTCGGCGTTATCTCGCCGCACCACCAGCATCGATTGTTGAGGAGGAATTGACCGCTAGAAATCAAAGCTCGTCTACACCTTGACCACCCCTACTATACGCAGGTCTGGTTGCTGATCTGGACGCAAGTCTGGTGATTCGTCGACGGGGAGTAGCCCGGCGCGCAGCGGTCGCATTTCTAAAGGTAATCTTAATCCAAAGCATCTACTGAATTTAACCCCTCCTCGCTAACAGTCCAGCACAAAACTGCCCCTACCACCGTACTACGGCAAAGGAGACAGTTCTTTCTGCAGGAATGGTGGCATTCTGGCCGACCGTTTTTGCGGTGACGACCGCTAAATCATGATTTCTCTTTTTTCTCTTTGTCTCACACTCCCTCTCATTCCCTCGCTCACTCCCTAGCACTCGCTCTCTGATAGTCAATTTCGCTCTCTCTCTCTCACTCTCTCTCTCCCTCTCTCTCTCTAGCTGGCTCGCTCACTCTCACTCTCTCTTTCTCGCGCTCAGCCCTCACTCTCTAGCGCTCGTTCTCTCTCATGCTCACTCGCTCTCACAAGTCCCTTTTTGCTGATTCTGTGGCCCTTGATCTCTCTCTTGCCGACTCTCGCCCTCCCTGACATGCTCTTTCTCGCGGTCTCTCTCATTCTTGCCCACGCTCGTTCACGCTCGTGCTCACCCTCTCGATGTCTCTCTCTCGTTTTTCTCATTCTCTAGCGCTCGATCTCTCGGCGCGAATTTCGCTCTTGCTCTCTCACACCCACGTTCTCTCTCTCTCACTCTGCCTCTCTCTCTATCTCCTTCTTACAATGGACAATAACGGTCTGCCGGCTTGGGGAGCGCGAGTTGTGCTGCCTCCTCGTAATTCTCGGGCACCAGCTCGATGTCGCCGACTAGAAGTCCCCCAGCTGGGGTGCACGTATCGTCGAGCGTCGCCCTAAAGTGCGAATCTTAAATCTATTTTCTCTTTCTCCATTTTTTTTGCTTTTTCCCGGAAATAATGAAGCACGATAAAACCGTATAATACCGTACTTTGGGTGAGAGAGGACCGGGCACTCCAGACAGCCGTACACCTCGTCGAGCACCAGACAGTTTTGGCCATCCACATCGTAATAGTGCTAAAGATGGTGTCGTCGACGGCGCATCTAAAGTTACCCACCGGCAAACGGGCTGTATCTTGAAATGAATCAAAGCATTGCTGGTAGTCGCGGCGATGCAGGCGGAAGGCGCCAAAGAAGTGCGTGATGTGCACCGGGAATTTGTAGCCGCTGAAACGGTATAAAAATAATTGTTAAGAGGCCAGAAATAAACCCGATGAATTTGGCGTTTAGCTTAAACGCTTTCGAATAGCCAAAAACTCATGGAAAAGTTGTGAAATGCCTTAAATAATGCTAGAAATTTGTCACAAGTTTCTAATATATTAATTATATATTAATTTGTAATTTCTTTGAAATCAAAAACTACTAAAGATACCATAAATACATGTTGTATATTATTTACACGTATGAGGGATAGATTAAAAAATCTAAATGAGCTTTCCCTGGCTCAAAAGCCCCCCCCCCACAAACAGTCCAGTACCGAAAAATCGTAATCCCGCCCCTGCTATGGAGCCAGATTTTAGCCGTCCCTACCATCCAAACGACGAAAAGCCAAACTCACGAAAATTTGTAGTGGTTTGTCTCGTTCGTCTTGCACGAGATATCCGTTTCGCGCTCTTCGAATCTAAACAGCAGTTATTAGGATTTTTTCATCCAACAAACTCAGGATCGACGTCTGTACGCTGGTCCATGAACCCGTTGTCGTCATGCTATATAGAAAATTGATGATGTTGAGACTAGAAGCGCCTACCGCGCCCATCAACACCCCTGACGGCATCAGCAGTAAAAAAAGGAAGCTGGACGGTTGCATCAGGTCGGCCGAGTGGTGCAGCGCATAGGGTCGAGTGTAAATTTTTACAGTCTTTTTTGGAGCCGCAAAAATTTATGCTAATTTTAGAACTAAAGCCCGTTTCACGCTAATTTTTTCTGGGCCTTCTGTATCCCGTTAAAGGGATAAGGAGGGCCCACGTAGATCAGCCCGAAACCGGTGACGGGGGGAAGGGGGCTCTGCGCTCTCTCCCCTGGGCGCCCTCTCTCGCCCTCTCTGACCCAGTTGGCTACCTGCCAATTCTAGATGAGCCCTCATCTACCTGGGCCCTCCTTATCCCTTTAATGGGGGTTGTTGACATATAGTCAATCCAGACTTTCGCCTTAAAAATCAAATTTTTCCGGTTCGAAGATGTCAAATTTCGAATCAACGTGTAATTTTACATTTAGTGAATTGTGTTTTACATCAATGACTAGATTACCCGATTTTTTATTGCTCAAGAATTGGAGCCATTTAAACAGAAACCTCCAATTCATTATGGCATAGACACAAACACCACATATTGATTTTTTTAACTAGTACGATAGATGCGCAGTTTGCAGATGAGCCCCGACAGATGCCCGACGGTAGCAGATGTCCTATGTTTGGCTCGCGCTCTGCAGTGCTTGATATTTTCGTTTAAGGTCAAAGATCTACGCTTAATTTTTGATGTCCACTTCCATTTCTTCGCAATAACTTTTTTCAATCCCCCACACAGAACCCTTTTGAACCCATATTCCCGAATCTAAAATTTTTGGACTTCGCAATTTTTTTGTTGGTTTTGCCAGGCCTCCATTTTTCTTTATCATTAGCTCTCTTGTTTTTCGGGCGTCCTGATTTTTACGGAGACTGAGACTGACTGAGATCATCTCTTTTACTTCGAATTTTCCTGCGAAAATGTCCATTTCAGGTGATGGACAAATTTTGCCAGTACCCAACCGTCGTCCAGCACAACATCCTCCGCCAGATGGATCTTCAGAGCTTCTTCAAAACGGCCAGAACGAGCAAGGCGATGATGGAGCTAGCCAAAGGTTGCACGGACAAATGTTGGGACGTGGAGCTGCACGAGGACCCGGAAGCCAACAACTGGTCGGTGTCTGAAGATGGCGTTCAGGCTCTTAGAATCGACAATCTCGACACAATCGAGCTTCTTTTCCATGGTTCGACCGTCATGTGTCTGAGGCTCGACCGGCCGATCCCTAAGGAGCTGGATATCCGGTGTAGGTACCTGCAATTGGAGCGCAACGCCAGCCTGACAGTCGAGGGCATAATCGCTAAGCTCAAGCTTCACAAATCGGCTAAAAAGTATTATGTTGAAATGAACGTGGTATCGCCAAACGAGGTATTACTGGAATTGCTCAACGAAAATGTCGACGGTCTAGACGCAGAGCTTGTCGCGCCAGCTCCGGCATACATTCGCTTGAAGGTGCCGCGGATGACTCTGAGGAACTTTCAAATTACCGACCCGTGCTATGCAACATGGGCACGTATGTTGGTCGAGGAATGGCTGGACGGGATACGTGAAATCCGTTATGTTCATCTACACGACTTTTCATTCCGCGATCGCCTCGCTGACTTTTGCGACCACGCCTTCCACCGGCCCTACCCAAAACTGTGGCTGATGGATGAACAAAGTGCCTACTATTATATCAAGCGTGAAGACGGCAACGCATTGATCATGTGTACAGACTACAAGTATCATGCGCTCATCTTCACACACCGCGACGAGATTTCCAAACATGTTTGGTTTAATTTGTGCCAAGTTAAGGAATTCCTGGATGCCGCTGCTGAATAAACGTAAATTTTTGTTCTTGAATAATCTTGGAAATGGATTCAGTTTT